TATATCATGTTCTTCATACATGGATCAAAATTCTACCAAAAAAACCTCTAAATTATCTAGTATTGAATCTCATCATTCAAGAAAAGATAAAAACCATGATAATGTTGAATATAAAAGAAGTGTACTAATGAATCTAACTTGTGATCTGAAAGTTAGATAGCTTTGGAATTGAAGTTCAATCAAAAATTATATTTGATTTATAAATCTTTGAAACTTGGATCTTGTACCATCAAACTTCTTAAGAAGGCAACACTTGGTTCTTTAGTACTGAAAGGATGTTCTATTTTAGGAGAAAGAATATGATTTGATGCAAATATTGAAAAAAATTCAATTATATCTATATCTTCACTTCTTGCCATTTTTATTGTTTCTTGTCATAGAAAACTGAGTTGATGCATCGCAAGCATTAATTCCTTCAATTGCTCTTGTATTTGTGCCATTGCACTTTTTATTTCAACAAGCTCTACCATGATTATACTTAGAAAAAAAAATATAATTTTTCTCAAGCCTTATAGAAGAAAGAACTTGACATCAAAGAAGATACTTAGAATAATATCAATTTAAAAAAAGATAATCCATAACTTCTAATATGCTTATGTCTTATCAAGAAAAAGGAGTAATATACTCTTAATCAAGAAAAGAATATGCTCTAATAATTTAAATAAATTCTTTTCAATCTGTCAATAACAAGAATTTGATGAAAGTAAATAAATAAGAATAACAAAATAAAAATAAATAAGTATATACATTAAAAGAAAATTGGAATGGCTATTGCTAAAAGAGAAGGAAACTAGAGACTCTTGAATCTATACTAGAAGCAAGAAAGGAGTTGACAACAATGAAGACAACTTCAATTTTTTCTTTATATATATTATTTAATTAAGAGTTATGTGGCAATGTTCTGTAAGACCTCTAATATGTGTTGAATTTGCAAGATACATGCCTTAGCTTACAAGACAAGTTTTGTATATGTACATCACATAGTTAGCTTGTTCTTCAAGCTATCAATATGTGTGGCACATTGCTTACTTTTTGATCTTATTTCTAACCTAAAAAATCAATTATAGACACCTATAAAATCAAAGTAACATTTATGAAGCCTCTAAGAAGCTTCTGTAGAAGATATTATGGAATTAATCTACTTTTAGTTATTTTAACCTACTTCTATTTAATTATATAGGTAATTATTGGTTTACATGTATATGCCTATGACACTTTGATTTTCTTAAATATGGGACAATGCTTTAGCTTGACATCATTGCCAGATGAATTGAGCAATTTTACATCTTTGACTACCTTGGATATAAGTAAGTATTAAAGATTGACATCATTATTAAAGAAATTAGGCAACCTCTCATCTTTAACTACTTTTCATATAAGGAGGTGCTCAAGGTTGATATTATTGCTAAATGATTTGGGCAACCTTATATCTTTGACTATCTTCAAAATAAAATATTACTCAAGCTTGACATCATTGCCAAATGAATTGGGCAATCTTATATCTTTGACCACATTGAATATTTCAATGTGCTTAAGATTGACATCATTGCAAAATAAATTGGATAATCTTACATCTTTGACTACTTTATATATAAGTTCTTGCCTAAGCTTAACATCATTGCCAAATAAATTAGACAATTTAACATCTTTAACTACCTTTAATATTTTGGAGTATTCTAACTTGATATCATATCCATATGAATTGAAGAATCTTACATCTGTGACTATCTTAGATGTAAGATGGTACTTAAGCTTGATGTTATTGCCAAAAAAATTGAACAATCTTATATCTTTGACTAATTTAGATATAAATTGGAGCTTAAGCTTGAAATCATTGCCAAATGAATTTGGCAACCTCACATCTTTTACTACTTTATATATAAGAATACTCAAGCTTGACATTATTGCAAAATTAATGGCAGAATAAGTACACAAATATTGACTAATTACACTTCATCTCCATTGGTTTAAATTCTTGCTACTACCAAAACTAATACATACAAACATTAGATTAATATTGTGCTTCACAATTCTTCACAACTTTAAAAAATCCTCCCATGATTTTAATATTATAAGTTGAGTCATTTTAAATTTATTTTTCAAATTACATTGCTTGAAATTTTTTGAAAGATATTGAAAAAAACATGAATCTAATTATTTTGTGACCAGAATATGAAGGCTAGTAACGTTGTTAAATTTATTCCTCTCAAACTACTACTTTGTGCAAGTACACCCTGTGTGAGCTATAATCTATTGCAATAGCAATAAAATCCCCATTATTGTCTTTGCTAAGACAAAGAATGCTCTCTCAAAGCTTATAGGTGCTTCAAAGATTGGTACTAAATGAGCTCCGTCAAGATAATCCTCAAAATCTGAAAGAAGTCACATTTTAGAAGATTATTAGAAAGGATGTTAATACAACTTATTATTCTTCAATCCAATTAAGAAACCTTCTAGAATTTAGAAGCAACAAGCCTTGATAGGCTACAATAATAAAACTATCACTTTGATTTATAAAATAGTTTTACATATCACTCACTTTGATTTTTGATTTTTAATATTTTTGGTACAATTTTTAGTTATTTTATTGTATAAACACAATTCTATTATATTAAAGACTCTTAAAAAATTTATAATTGTTGATTGCAATTAAAATAAATAGATACAATAAAATACATACATCAAATAAAATTTTAAAATTTTTTATAATGGATATTTTAAAAACCATAAAAGAATCATGAAGCAACCTCTTAAATAAGTTTTATGAATTAACTTTAAATTTTTTACTTTTAAAAAATATATGTATGAAATATTTATAAAAAACTTAATATAAAATATATATATATATATTTATTATTTTATGATAGCTATAATATTATATTTTTTAATTTCCATATAATCATTTAAATATAAATATAAATATATATATATCTAAAAAATTATGCTTAAACAAATATAATATCAAAAAATATGAAAATATTATTAGATGTATTTTTAAATATATTTAAAATAATCTAATCTAAATAAATTATATAAAACCAAAAAAAATGTAAAGAAAATAATATCAAATACTTTAGATTCAAGAAACTATTATGTATTTAGTTAAAATAGTACAAATATAAGGTAAGAAATACTTATAATGACTATTTGGATATATTTTATCAATTTAGAATTTAAAAATTCTTAGTTTTTTATTTATAGAATATTTATATTTTAGTAAAGTAAAATAAACTTGATTTTATTTAAATTTCAATAAAAAAAATTATTTTAAAATCTCAATTTGAAATGATTAAAAATATATGATATATATTTCAATTTAAAATTGATTTCAATATGACTTCAACATTAATAAAGTGATTTTTTGTTATTTATTTAATTTTTTTAGAATTAATTTTTTTTGTAGGAATGATATTTTCTAATTTTATTCTACAAATGCCTAAGAAATTTATCATATATTTTAATCATTTCAAATTGAGATTGAAATATATATCAATTTAAAATATTTTATCATATATTTTTAATCATATCAAATAAGTTGGAATAGTGGTGCATTAAATTACTTAGAATTCTAAAAAATAGCTAAAATAATTATGAAATTCATTAATACTACTCTATTTGAAAATATTATTATATATTTTTATAGAAATTAGTATAGTCTATAATTTTCTTACCAACAACTTATCTTGATATAAATCAATCTACATCAATAAAATTAGAGATTAATAAAACTACATAATATTTATATAGGTTTTTAATATCAAACCAATTAAATTTTATAACTTAAAATTCAATCATTAGTATTATATAGATTTTTACATTAGAATAATAATCAACCACTAAGTATTATTTTTTCATATTCAAAAATAAAAACAACTAGTATAAGCCTTATTAATTGCTAGTATTTTAATTGTTTACAATAACTCATCAATTGAGATTTTTTATCATTTGCAACATCCATTATTTTTGATACAGTCACTATGTACTAGGCTACATCTTTCATCCACAAGTTGGAATTAGTCCTAAAAAATAGAGTGCTTTAAATTTTTTTTGTGAAAAAAAAAATATTTTTACATAACCATTATCTACTTGATCAAAGAGAGTTTCTACTTCATGGTCTTTATTGAAAGGTCTATATGTTCATATATATATATATATATATATATATATATATGCATATATATAGATATATATATATATATATATATGCATATATATAGATATATATATATATATATATATATATGTATATAAAGTGTTTTCTTTAGTTATCAATACTTCAAAAACTATTATCCCAATAATTAATCAAAATTTTGGAAGCCAACTCCATTATATGGCACATAATCAATTTATTCTAATTTCTAATATTCAATTGATTTTTATTAACTTTTATTAATTAATAGAGGTATCTCTCACATGGCAAGTGGCATACAAGATTACATGGCTATATGTAATTGAATTTGGCAGGGCCACGTGGCCACCACTGCACAAGCGACCTAGATTATAGGGTTCTAGTAAGAGTGATTTCTATCCCACTTTTTAAAGAATTTTCCTAAACAGTAGAACAGAATGTGGTTGACAAGGAATACTATCAGAATTACATTCGGTACAGTTATAAATTAGAACTCGAGTGCCACTGACATAATTGAGCATAAATTACAAAATTGCTACCATAATTTAACCCTAAAATAGAAAGGTCTTCGTTGCATTTATAATTGCCCTCAAGGGTGTTAAGATATAAGTAGCCCAACTCTGTATTTACTTTCTTTACAGTCTAAGCATCGAATATATGTCAAGAATGTAAATAATTTAATAAGTTTACCCAACTCTATAAGCCTTACAGATGGAGTTGTGCCATACTGCTCGAAAAAGAGACATATCTTCACTGAGCTGCAAATGTGTGCTAGTATGGTGATAAATCAGGTGAAAGAGCGAAAGGATGCTGCGAAGCGAATAGGCACACAAGAAGATGGGTTTGTGCGCAAAGAATAAATCATCAAGAATCTCAATCACAAGCTCGTACAAATTTTATTCGGAGGCAATTGTGGAGTGTACAAATTATCCACCAATAATATTGCTTAAATTACATTTAAAATCGGTACTTAAGTTTTGCAAGCATCCGAGAGTTCGGGAGACCGTTGCCTATGCTCTTTCTCTTATCCCTTGAAGATGATCTGATGGCAGCCAGGTCTATCAGCGTGAGACAGAGTTGCAGTCTTTCAAAAGTTGAACTGCAAGATTCGTAGTAACTCTCCCCAAAGTAGGCGTGCAAGCTAGTGAGGTTCGTGGTTCTGATGAGCTCTCCCACTTACATCCCAAGGCTGGCACAGCACAACTTGATAACCACGCGTGCATAGCGAAACTCAACGACCAGAGGACCATGGAGTTTAAGCGGCTCGACTGAATGAGTCCACCCTCAAAAGTTAATAGAGATGATTCACCTCGTCAAAGTGAACCAAAAGTACAGTTCTCATCTTGCGGCCTCCTCATTCTTCTCAATAGTATCTCCGCTGTTTTAGATAATCTATGAAAGCTCTGGTTCAGACATGATATCCAATCCAGTTAATCGCTAATCCTCGTTCATTTTGATCCATTACTGGAACGGTGAATAAGGTGAATGGGCGGTAGACTCACATTCCATTCAATTTCTTCAAGGTGAGTTGTGTTCAGAGAGGGTCAATAACGAACCAACGGCAGAAGAGACAACCTTGCATTAGTTTCTTTTCAGTAATCCTTAAACATTCCGTCACCCACACTTGATTCACGATCGGGCATCTGAATGGAGCACCTGATGCACATCCGACATGTGAAGCACAGAGTTGCAAAGTCCACCTACCGTAGTGTACAAATTTGAAGCAAGGGCCATGTTTCAGACCACTATAGTCAAAGAAGGTTCAGATTTTGAGGAACACTACGACTTAAGGTGCAATCTGGTTCTAGGACTTTCAAGAAGCGCACGAACAGACAGTTATCACATCCCACATAGCGACAGTCCTAAACGTCACAAGCGTAGAAATATGTGCAGTGAAAGCGTTACTAGTTGGCATCATCTATTAAAAGTAATTAGCCTTTAAATACGGTTTGCCAATCCGTTGAAGAATCTGAAGTAAGCGTGACCGCGATAGGTACTGACCACCGTTAGCTATTGAGATTGGTACAGTCACATCAAAACTATGAAAATCTACCATGAACACCTACATAGAATTCAACCTCGCATGGTGTGACATTTGCTCCCGAAATCGGACTTCTACCGACAGTAAGGCAGTGTAAGAAAAAACAAAAAGGTCACATAGATCCCATCTCACCTGAGTAATCGTGTGTTGAGAGGCTTCAGTGATTCACCTTTACAAGTTCCCTGTGCCTCCCAAGTATGAATGTTTGTCTTTTCTTCGTAACGTGCAAGGGCTGCGCCTACTTCTCACTACAAAATCGTGTTCACTACTATATGTTATTTTGTCAACTTTAGATAACTATAATTCTGAATTCTCCTTCAGCATACTCTAACTTATTTTCAACGAAATGCCTTGAAAACTTCCGACATGAGTAATGAATAAATGCAACACTACTAGTTGAGAGACTGCAATACTACATAGTTGTAGCCACGAACTGCAATACTATAAGTTATTTTCATTGACTGGTCTTGTACAAATTCTCATCGGGGATAAAAATTGTGGAGACGGAGAACGAATTGATAACAATGACACAAGCACTTTCATGACCGAAGCATACGTAAAGATATCCTGCATCTCTCGCTCTCATTATATTATCTAACTCATCACAGTTCTACACAAGGACGAGGAGCCTATGATGATTCTAGTTGCCAGATACTGGAAACCGCTCGAAACTTCACAGTTTCGGGATGCAGCACAGGAAATAGTGGTGGAAGTTTCATCGAGTCGTCCACCTTCCGAACATATACCTAGCAGCAGAACGAGTTGAAACATATGACATACTCCACTGCTCCCAAGACAGCGACCAAAATCGGAACGGCTACTTCGACCTCTGTCTCATCTTTCGCCTCTTACGTTTGAGACGCCTCATACGTTTTTTCTTCCACTGTTGTCATGAAATCAAAATCCGAAGTAAGCACAAAAAAGAAACACTCCTCCAGAAATCGAAACTTAGAACCAATACATCCAAAGCTAAACCGTGCAAAGTCCCAGGAAGGACTGAAATTGAAATGAAAAAACCAAAATGCAAATGAAAAAACAAAGAGACGGCACAACAGAACGAAGGGAGAAGGGAGAAACACCTTGGCCCTCATGATTCACGAACGCACCAAGACGCAGCCGCAAGTTAAGACAAGGTGGAGAGATCAAAAATGAGGACGTAAACGGGTATTTGAGGGAAAGCTCACCAGGGATATTCACTCACCAGCTCAGCCCTAAATTGATTCTGACGTGGACTTCCAACGTGTCTTACCACGTCGGCACCATCTCAGCCACGTCATACCATCCGCAACCCACTGACCCACGTGGAAATCCCAAACCTAGTCTTGCAACTCACTTGGTATCGTTGGAAATACAGTTGCATCGAAGTGGTTTTGTAGAGCTGCGAGAATGAATATCGATGGTGAGATATGTTATTAATGTGTATTTTTCACTTGATGAAGTAATGAAGGTTTGATACTGTAATTTCCATTTGTGCTTTTGAGTTCATTGCACCATTCAGGAGCAACACCAAGGTCCTTATGATGTATATGCCATAATACTGTTATTTTTTTATTTCTAAATATGTTTTTGTATAGATCAAATTCTTTATAGAGTTACTAAAATGCACCTTTTTAAAATACATATTATTATTATGTTATTTTTAATTATTATTATTTTCAAATTATTATTATTTAATCAATTCAAAAGTCATGAGCCAATTTTTTTTGTAAATCAATAATTGAAGGGGAAATGAATCTATATATACACATAAATAAATATATATATTATTTTATTTTAAAATTACAATAGCAATAAAAATAATAATAAATACATATGCATACAAAAATATATATATATATATATATATATACACATAAATGTAATAGAAAATAAATATAAAACACGACTATACATACATAAAGTTAAATTCAAAATTACACAAATCTATGCTTTTGTACAACAAAATATAGATACAAATTATGATATCAAAGTTGAGAGTCCTTTATAGTTTTCATGCACAATCTTTGATTGAAGATGATAATCATTATAGACCATTTCCAAGCATTTTAAATCAAATATTTATTAGCGATGTTTATTTAAGAGACATCTTAGTCATGAAGTAGAAATATCAATGATTCTAATGAAGAATTTCTAGTGCAAACCAAAATAGAAGCCTTGATTATTTATTTCTTTTTCCTTTATAATTGTCCCTCATATGAAGTGAATATTCTTCTTCAATTGTCTATTTATTTATTTTTACTGTTGTTTATCCTTTGTTCCAATTTTTTTTTATTGTAAACATCTATTTTACCTTTTATTATGATTATGATTATTATTATTATCATCTTTGTAGTATTTTGATTTTCCACTCAAAGAATGAAAATTGTTCAATTATAATTAGATTGATTAAAAGCCATCCATTTTGAAGATATTGATGAGAGCAATAAAAAGGATATATATATATATATATATATATATTATATAGGTATCTTTTATTAGTTCTTTGTGGTTGATAAATTTGAATTAAAATAGAAAAAAGATGGAGTGTCATTTTTGTACTAGTCTAAGAGGGCTAAGTTATGATTCATTTACCTCTTTTTGTAAATGTGTGCATGTAGTGTCAATTTAATTAGTTGAGGAAATCTTAGTCTTTATTAAAGTTGCACATATATTAATGTAATGAATTCTCAAATATAATTTATCATATATAGAAAACTATAGAAAATTATTTTATTTGTACCAATGATTGTGGCATTTACAAATTGCAGTAAATCAATTGTATTTAGCAAAAAAAATTAAAAAACTGTATTCATTATAAATGCTTGTAATTGGTTTTTCTTATTGGTAAAGATTGAGATATTTTCACAAATCTTAGAGTTCTTCCACATTTTATTCTTAATACTAGTTTTACGTTGGTAGCTTCATAAAGGGCATTTCACTTAGATAATTAATTGTCAAAGTGAAGCATCTAGAATTATAATGTTAGTTGATTAATGCTTCATTAATTTCTAATATATTTGTTTTGACTTTTCCAATTATTTTAGAAAAGAAATTTTGATATATAAATATATATAAAAGACATTTCTTATTGTTTAAAAATTTTCCAACCAATTGTTTAAATTATTATTATTATTATTATTATTTGCATAAAATAGAAAAATCTTATATCAAAAAATAGTATAATTAAACCTTTGTGAATAGAATCTACTATTTGAAACTTTCTTATTTTCTTATTCCTAGACAAAGAAACAAAAAATTAGAATCCTAATGTATGAAACATTTAACATCATATGCATCTCCTATGAATTGAAACATACAAAAATAATATATATATATATATATATATATATACATAATTTTACACTCTTCTTTCTAAAAAATGTTTATTAGAAAAAAAATATTTCAAAACATATGTTTAATTCTTTAATTCTTCTATATACATGTGAGATGATTTTTTTGAGATTTGAATATTTTAATTTCTTAATCTAAACATCTAAATATATATATATATATATATATATATATATATTCATACATTTAGACATGAAGATCAGCATTTTGTAATATTACAAGTCTAATGTTTTTACAAAAATAAAGTATATTCGAAAGTTAGAAAATATTATCATTACTATAGTTATAGTTTTTAAGTCCTAATTTTACTCTATTTTTCTATATTTTATTTCCTTGAGTAAATACAATTCCATTAATATTATATGCATATTATTAATGCACAAAAAATACTTTTGTATATTTTTAAATACTAATTATTTTCGTTTGTTTGAAACTGTAATTACCTCAATAAAGTGTCAAAGATATGAGATCTTAAAATGATTTGATACCTAAGTGATATTATCAAATTTAGCATCATTCAAAGCTATGATGACCTAAAAATGTGGTCTTGTCAAATTGTTCAAATTTTTAACAATATATGTTGAAAAAAACAACTTAATTTGAGCATTGCATTTTATTACTGAGATGAAGAAGGTGCAAACTCTTAAGGAACTATTGAAAATACTAAGCTCTTTTTAAATTAAATTAAATTAATTCTTGATACCATACCATAAACAAACACTTTTAATTGTATTACAATCAAACACTTTTGTCTTATTTTATTTTAAAATAAAGCTAACTAAAAATGTAATTATTTGATCCATGTGCATAATAACAAATCCAAATGTGTACCTACAATAAGTATTCTTACAACTATTGCTATTATTATTATTTAACACGAATATTAAATTGATCCACTTTATTTCAATGGTTTAATTTCTACAACTACTTTTTGGATTCGAGAAAAGAAAAATATGTGAATTCAATAGAAAACATCACTCAAATCTTTCTTTTTGTTGATTTTTGGTTCAACACAAACCAATATAATTTAGAGCTCATCTTACATGCTCAAATTATGATACATAAATGCAATATTGGAAATCCTAACCTTGTCGGCTAAAGAATCAATCATCCTAAAATATTCATGGTTGCCAAAAAGAGCCTTGGGTTGATTTAATATTTCTCTTATTTAATTATATTACACACACACACACATACATATATATATATATATATATAAGAATAAGAATACAATTTATGATAAATTATGAGGCACAAAATGATTTATCTTTTTTAAAATCTAAACTTAATCACATGCAAATACAAACAAGCAAGCAATGTGTAGAAAAACACTAAATCAAAACACTTTTGGAGCCTAGGCATAATCACCAAACTTTGAATATTAAATAAACTTTTTGTTAATAACAATGTTTTAAATCTCACCAATGGGAAGATTAAAGATGAGCACACAAAGATAGTCACATGGAAAATAAGTTACATGCAAGGAATGTTTCTGCAAAACATGTAAAGTAGAAAAAAGAAAACACCACAAACTCCATCCAAAAAACAATTCTTAGAAACGAAAGAAAATAATCTAAAAATTAATCAATGACTTCAACGACTGTGTGGAGAAGGAAGACGAAGGAGGAAGTCATCCATCAGTACTCACTCATTCCTGAATAGCATCCACTGAAGTACTTGATCGTATAAAAGCATGGACTAAGTATGCATTTAATCTTTGAGCTCTGCCCGAGCAAGTATCTTAACAAGCATGGTTGTGGTGTTTTTCATCGCGCATGTTACACCATGTAATTTCACATGATGGTGAGGGTTGGGGTGGGCCGTTGGGCCATAAGCGTTTGCGGGGAGTGCTCGGAACTGGAATCAGGTCCGCTGGGTCGGCGGTGATATGATCGGGCACGGTTCTAGGGCACAACCTGCTCCTTAAACTTCTGACTCGATGAAAGTTGCAGTGCCGCATGAGCCCTCCATTTTCCTTCCATGCAGGAAACATGCTGGAGCAGCAGGGATGCGAAATCCGCGACCAACAGGTGGACTGCAAAACCAAATTTACAAGGAAAATCGAAACTCTTTCAGAGATGGATGACTCGGGGCTGCGGGCGCCACTGGGATTGCAAAAATTTGCGCAGCCGGGGAAACGAACCCTGGTCAGTACCGTGGGAGGGTGCTATGATATCACTACACCAGCTGCGCTTGTTCAAGTAACCGAGCAGCTAGCCAACTCGTAACGCATTTAGACTATGATGTGCGCTGAATCACAAAAGTAAGTAAAAGAAACTAGGATCATTATGAACGTAGTTAGTTTAGCGCACCTCTACATTTAGCGACAGTATTTGGCGGCATCGTCCCAGCTCTAGAATATACCAGGTTTGCATTGCGAAGCGGAGCACCCAGAACGGGAATAGGCTAATTTCCGGCGTCGTTTTTCGAGTTTCAGTGTCGACTGATTCAGTTGGGACGCAGCTCGTTGTTGAGGAAGCAACGTGGAATCGTCATCTTTCGTCTTTCCTGTCAGGATAACTTGGTCAGTAGGTGTCTGTTTTCTCCATTCATGCCGTCGTTTTTCAGTTACATGATTTGGGCGAAAGGTTGTTGCGTTGTACACGCTGAGCAAGCGTGTCAAGTTTTGAGATAATGAGGTTAATGGTGACATTAGGTTGTGGGATGGGTTTTGTTTTTTTGTTGGGTGCTTTGTAGCTGAGAGCTGGAGAGTGGGAGCGGGTAAGGAGACGGATGTGAAGACTGTGGGGTCGGTAATATGGGAACAACCGTGGCCGCAACTTCTCTGGCGAAGGACTACGATTTACCGTGGGTTGAGAAGTACCGACCTCACAGAGTTGCTGACATTGTTGGGAACCAGGATGTGGTCGCCCGCCTCCAGGTCATTGCGCAGGGCGGCAACATGCCCAATCTCATCTTCTCTGTATCCGAAAGTTCGCTTTGCGTAGTGCCTTTGAAGGTTGAGGGTTTTTCATGTATGTTGAAACAGAATGCAATCGTAAGTGCTACAGGGTTGCGTCGATAGTTTACATTGTTGTAACTTGTTCAGTGGTGCAATGGTATTGCTGCTGCCGTGATTTTACATTGCTCTCTTCGGTTAGATTGTTTCTGGAAACTTTCAGGGTTTAGGGTTTGGTTGAGAGGTAAATTCTGACTAGTGACGCTGCGATCAGAAGAAGTACTGATGTGCTCATTAAGCACCCTTGATTCCCATTTGTATCTATTTTTGGGATATCCTATGTGTTAGAGGTTGATGCAGTTCTTTTTCCTCTAGTTTTGGATTCTTTGACCACTGGGAAGGGCCCCCCTGGCACTGGTAAGACAACAAGTATTCTTGCTCTGGCACACGAACTTTTAGGTCCCAACTTCAAAGAAGCTGTCCTGGAGCTTAACGCCTCCGATGACAGGTGTGTTGAAGAATCTTGTTTCATGTTGTAGCATCCTTTGAATATTATCTCTCAGCTTTCCAGATCGTTCTCTAATCTGTTCTATATTGGAGGCAATTGTTCCAGCAGTGTCCTAAATATTCACCTCCTGCAGCCAGCTTCCTACCTCATCATGCTGTTGTACTTATTCCTTATTGCATGATGACACGTTGCAAGTCCTGCTGGTTGTTTGCGCATTATCTCTCCTGAATGTGGTTTAGCTTTTTGTAATGCAGAGGGATTGATGTAGTCCGCAACAAGATCAAAATGTTTGCTCAGAAGAAAGTGACATTGCCGCCGGGACGTCACAAAGTTGTTCTTTTGGATGAGGCCGACAGGTAGTATTTTCCATCTTTGGATTATAAACATATATTGGGTTGTACAACAAACCATAACTGTGAATTTCACAGCTCATTTTGGTCGTGGTGGAACTTAGAGTGATGAGGAGTAGGAAATCGTAGCTTCTCTCAAAGTGTATGTGAATGCGTGCAGCATGACAGCTGGTGCCCAGCAGGCTCTACGAAGGACTATGGAAATTTATTCCAACACAACTCGATTTGCTTTGGCTTGTAATTTATCGTCAAAGATTATCGAACCTATTCAAAGTCGATGTGCCATAGTTCGTTTCTCCAGATTGTCAGACTCTGAAATTCTAGACCGTCTTCTTCGAGTTGTCGAAGCAGAGAAGGTCCTCTCTCAACACAGCATGTCTCTCATCCCACGCCATTGTGTTTTAACTTTTTGAGTTCACCCATTGTACGTGGAAATTTAATTAGTACTTGTGTATTTTTCAAAACTTGTAAATTTTACATTCGAATATTCTAGCACTCTGTTCTGTACTAAGCTGTGTTTCACTATCACCAGTCTTGTAAGACGTCAGAGTTGGGGCTTATCTATCGCCGGATTATCCAATGTGGCAGGTGCCTTATGTGCCAGAGGGGCTAGAGGCAGTTGTGTTCACTGCGGATGGAGATATGCGGCAAGCCTTAAACAACTTACAAGCGACATTCAGCGGTTTTCAGTTTGTCAATCAAGACAATGTTTTCAGGGTATGGATTTGATACATTTTGTATTCCTTCTTTTCGTCTTACTACAGTTCATATATTTCGCCTGGATATGTATGGACAACTAAGTGTCGAATTACTGCAGAAGTGTTGCTTTATATATTCGCTGATTTTTTTTGATTCCATGGGATCAGGTCTGTGATCAGCCGCATCCTTTATTAGCTCAACAGATTATCAAGCACTGTATAGCAGGCAACATTGATGACGCCTACACAGGATTGAAGCAGCTCTATGACATGGGCTACTCTGCCACTGATATTATCACCACTCTATTTAGAGTAGTGAAAAATTATGAGATGGTGGAATTTTTGAAGCTTGAGTTTATTCGGGTGGGTCTCATCTCCTAAACACTCTCAAAATGCCACAGGTTTTTGGTAAATGGTTGTAGCAATTTGATGGATTTCATTTTTTTCATTTATTTGTAATCTCCACGGACCTTTTCCTTTGCGAATCTCATCAAGTAGTTTAGTGACCCTACTGCACTCAACATTTTATATGTGCACTGACCTTGGTTTTGTTTTGTTCTGTTGATTTTTTTTCATTAAAAGTTCTCCTTCATGTGGTGCAGGAAGTGGGTTTTGCGCACATGCGTATAGCAGATGGAGTGGGAACGCTCTTGCAGCTGTCAGGTCTCTTGGCCAAGCTTTGTAAAGTCAGAGAACGATGCAAGGCATAGTGTTCTATTTTTCTCATCATGAACACAACGTACTTTGCCTGGTGCAGGTTTTTCTTCTACCATTGTCATCAAGATTGTGGCCACTGATTACGAAGCATTTGTGAGTATCCAGTTGCACTTGTTTAGATCCGAAGTTACGTTTTGGAACACTGGTAGTGGCTACTAGTTTTGAAATGTCGTCACAGAGTGGTATCCTCAAGACCCAAAGATATTCCTCATCCTCTGGCCTGTAGCCAAGGACAATGGTCTCTTTCGATCTTCTCTAGTGTATATATCAGTTTGCTTCACCTAAATCTCATTAATGACTGCGTTTCTGTTGACTTGGGAGAGTATGTTCGGATTTGTTCCTTTGGGGGATTAGACTACGGGCATGCCGAGGCCTTAAGTTGGAAATTGAATTATTGAGGTTTAAACTACCAACCTCTCAGTATTGACTTGTCATCCTTGGCTATTACAAAATAAAGTGTTTGAATGACGATGACTGAAAACATAAGAAGCTTACATTTCTTTCATTTTTAAAGGATTTAAATGTGTCTTAAACTAATAATGATTTTAAAATAAAATAAAATAATGTTATTAATACAAGTTTATTTAGTATTTTATGTTACAAAAAATACATGAATTAGAAAACTATATATTTTTCGTATTATTTGGATCAAGTTTAAAGATGGGTAGGAATGATTCAAAAAACATTATATATGAAGCGCTAAACTAAAGGAAAAGAAATAAATATTATAAAGAAGAGAAATGTTTGTTTAAAATATTTTAAAAATGATGATTTCTTAATTCTTACAACAATTAATTTTAAAACACTATATATATATATATATATATATATATATATATATAATACTCTATTTTATATCTAGATCTGTATTATGTAAAATATTTTTATAAATTTTGCAAAAAAATATTATACTTTAGTTATTTGTTAGTAATTTGTTATTTAGTAAATTTATTAAATAACAAGTTCATTTATTTACCTTAAATTTTGCAGTTGGAAACTATTAAGTGTCACAAATATGCAATAAATTTCATCTGTATATTATTATTTTATTATTATTTTTAGAGCAATAAGATCTAACATTGAACAATCAAAATACATTTTTGGAAAAAATTCAATCTATATGCGAAAAATATGATGCAATTTGAATAATCACATATAAAATTTGGATCTTGCAAGAATAAAATCATCTATAAAATTAATAATTAATCATATGTAGGATAATGTTTCACTTATTAAGCCATTAGTTTACATATTAAAACATAATGTATAATAAATTTTATTCTATTTATTTATTCTTGAAATATTAATTTAAGCAATTGACTTAGTTGTTAAGTATAAAATTGATTGTTTTAGTTTTGTTTATAAAATTCTATAATTATACTTTAATATTTTATATAATTTTATGACAAAATCTATAAATTTAAAAATACATAGTCAAAAGTCAAAGACATGTAAATTTAAAAATGTTACCATCAATACAAGCACTTTTCTACAAAAAATATATAATCTAATATAAAATAAAAAGGTGATTAAAACATCAGTATCTAAATTAGATATGAAAAATTAAATAATAATGCAATATTTTTTTATTCTAGTAAATGCTATACTTGCTTTTTCAATATTCAACAAATAATGTATATTAAAAATAATTAAATAATATTTTAGTCTACTATCTAGGTCATTCTTATTTAATTAAATAATATCAAAATACTTTGAAAACTATCATCTCAAATAATGGTTCATGGATAGATATTATGAAAGTGCAAGCTATCTTGTATTGGATAAGATATTTAATGGTTTTTAGAATTTTCTTAATGTCAAGTAATTATTATTTATTTAATTAATATTTTTTCTCAACTAACATATCTAGTTTAAAAAGATTCTATCATGGTTGGAATTTTATTAAATTATTTATTTATTTATTTATAATCTGAATATTAACATGAAATGAATAATTTTAATTTAGCATAAAATCCTTATTTGTGTAGTTTTTTAAAAATAAACATAGTACAATTTGTAATTTGTAATTTTTTTTTGGAATACAAAAAGATTTTATTTAACTAAATGAGTAACAATTTGTCTAAAAATTCTTGCAAATATTCTTTTAAAGTCTTTAAAAAATTGCACAATCCAACATAAATCCAAACCACAAAACATTGTATTTAAAGTATATAAATTAAAAATATTGACTTTTTTTATTTGCATAATATATTGTAGATAAAATAAAATAACTTATATATTTTTTTATTCAAGGTCAGAATTAATTTTTTTTTCTATTTTTCTTTTTATAAATAGAGCTATAAAAAAATCCACAATAAATTACTATGAATTGAAATGAATTAATACATTAATTTCAAAACAAGAGCCTTAAAATAATAGCTTTTTTCAATCAGTTTTGGATATAAGGTTTGCAATTAACTAACATATCTTGTATTAAAATGTGGTTCTTATTTTAATAGTCTCGCAATCAGTTTTTCTTAAAAAATTGTTCATATTTATTTATAAATACTTCAAAGTTGCTATAAAATATAAGAATTTTTTCTAACAAGGATAGAAATCAAGCCAAAAAAGTACCGTGCAAGAAGATACTTAAAATTTTTACTTGAGTAAATATATTAAAGTAGTCTATACGATAAAATTATAGAATATAAATTATAAAATATAAATTTAAAATAATAAATTAAAATATATCACTCTTCTTTGATTAATTTATGGCTCTTTTTGAAAATATATGTAGAACTTTGTTATTATTATTTTTATTTTAATATATTGATTACAAGTATTTTGGATATCTTTAGAAGTTTTTTAGTTAAGCCTCACCAAGTAAAATATATTAAACTATTTTTATCATTACTTATGATGCAAAAAATAATGTTTAAGATTAAATATATACATATTATTTTTAAAATAAAAAATATTTAGTCTTAAAATTATTTTTTGAATTTCACTATAGTTTTTTTCGACAATATAAGATTTGAATATTCAGCTTGATAATGAATTTTAATATTATTTGATCTCAAATTTATTTTTAATTATTTCTTGTTTTTTATCATTAACTTAAAGTTTTATATAATTTATGTGCTTATCTCAAAAAATTTGGTTTGTTGGATCTACTCTTCTCTTATGAACTATTTACATATTTAATTGATCTTGTATTTTTTCTTTTTTTTAAGGTGAAAATTTTATTTTTAATTTGATTTTTTAGATTACACAATATCTTGGTGATTAGTTGTATCATTGGTATCAAGTAAGTCTACATTTGTCTATGCATATCTCTAATTATCTGTCTTGGTGTCCTAACTTACATATGTATTAATATTTCTAAATCAGTATTGCGATTATTTATTTTGAACTACGTTGGAATCAATATTAATTTTTTTAATAATCCTTAAATTCCAGTTGTTTTCTATGGCTTATTTCTAAATGATGAATCCACTCATTTTCATGTATGAAAAAATAAAAGTTTTGTACAAATTGAAATAAAGTTGCAATATATAGACATATTATCACATTTAATTCTATTCAAGACTTCAAAGAAGATGTTATTTTTCATAGACACAGTGATTTTCAAGGTATTTTTAGAGTTCAAAGACTGGCCTAGATGTAGAACTATAAATCCATAACTATCACAAAAATTGTTGATATTAACGTTTTTAGATTTAAAAAAAAAAAATACAAACAAAACTTAGTGAATGCCTTTGATTGGCTTATATGGGTCAAAATTCAACTTGGAATACCACATGATGAATGTTGATAATATTCTCTATGATTTTAGAATATTTTAAAGCTTTACTTTCATACAGGGAGTACTTTAGAATGCCATCCAAATATTCATCTTTTTAACATCTGATTTGAAAAAAACACTGAATGTAAAGAAACCAGCAAACAAAAAAATTCGTTGTTTATTTTGTTATCATCTCAATCTCAAAACAATGAAGCAAGGCCCAAGCTGCTGAAATCATTCTTTCTTTCTTTCAAATCCGGAATTAGGGCAGAAAATGTACATGTAATTGAAGCCAAGTGTAAATTTAAGTGCATAGGACTTGATCACACTATCAGCATGATGTGTGTGTGTGAACAGTTTCTGAGGCTGAGCATATTTCACATATGATTGGAGGAATTCTTCCTGATATTATGTGACCATGGTCTTGATGCTCCACACATGCTGCTAAACCCTAGAGTGTCAATAGATCCTAATCTAGACAGCCTTGCTCATAGATGCTCTGTTGAAACCAATGAAAACTTGGTCAAACAGGTTGTCCCAATACATCAAATTCAGCAATTGAAGGACAGTCAGAGTACCAGAAAAATCTTAAATTCTTGATGGCAGATCATCGCATCAGTGCTGCAGGGTGTGGGTCTTATGGAAGAGATTATACTGAAACAGTCATATGAGTTTTCCAAAGTTAAAGGATAATCCAGAGAAGAATATTTTTTTCTCATGCCCGCTGAATGAATGATTTACATGCAAAAATTGAGACAGTGTTCTGAGAGAATGGAAGCTTGTGTTCCCATACTGTGGGTGATGTCTCTGTCCTTAGTACTTACTTACAAATACCTTCATCACAAGTACTGTAATTAAAGGAGATTAAAGTTGTGAAGATTGACAAAGCAAACTATAATATTAAACTTCGACGGGTAGATGTGTAGACTTGAAATCAACTATTATATTGTGCTATTGAATTTACTATTTTATATCAAGAAAAGTTTAGACTTTTAATTTTATTTTTATATTTTTGTGGGTGAAGCGCAGAATTTACAAATATCTTATAAGTTTCAAAAACTTTGTTCAAAGCTGTTGTGGATTTCTCCAACGATTGTGAAGAAAACTAACATGATTTAAAAACAGTATCGGAAGAATAAGTTGATTTTTTAAACATTGAGCCCAAATTTGAGCGAAAAACGCCATGTTGAATGAAATGCACCCACGTGCTTACAATGTGACCTACAAACGATTAATTTAAAAAATCATCAGAAAAATTCTTGGTGGTGTTGAAATTGGCCTTGATAAGGCACCTTTTGCTGGGTAGGCTCAGACACGGTCGTTTTTCATGGCCTCAATTTTGTTTTGGCCCTCAAATCCTAAGCATCCAAAATACACAAATTCATCAGAAACTCCTATAGAAAGATTTCAACAGAAAATTAGGAATGGAAAAATTCCTCTTCTGCCCATAGTTAGACCATTGCAAGGGAACCTTTTGGCGCTTCAGCATCAGCAGATAACCGTTACAGTTTCATACAAGTTTTTATCACTGACCGACACTTCCCCTATAAGATTAACACTCGATCACCCGCAATCCCAACACCAAAGCCTCAAGTTTTCCATCATGCCTGTCGTGAACGCAAATCAATCTCGGGCTTGCCATTTCTTCCAAGACAACCGTAACACTGCAATCAGACCGGTCAGAGCAAGTCCTTGTAGGGAGAAGACAAAAATTATTCTTACTTCACAAGCTCAAGTGAATTCCTGAGCACGTGACATCCAGTACAGGAAACCATTCCAATCATGGTCAGAATGGCGTCGTCGGATTTTGCGTGCAAGCGGAGCATACTTTAAACGTGGGATCATTTCACAAAACAGCTAGGAAACTGTGCCGAACCTCGTAGCTGAGGCTAGCTAGTTTTTACACAACTCCACTGCTTAACAGTACATGTTGGCAAACATAACATGCACGATGCCGATGTTGCTAGTATCCTACTGCAACCACTTTCTGTCATGTAGATGCACACCGAGGGACAGGTTGCATTCAACGTGCGACAACGGCAGATCCTTGCACCTACATCAGACCCACACTGTTATATAGGTGACTCTCTCTCTGTGACTGAAGCCGATGCTTCGGTGCTCTTCCATCAAGATGACTCGGGTTCGACGGAGTCATTACTTTTCTCTGGGTCCTTCTTGGCCATCTCCTTCTCCTCCTCAGTGGGGTCCATGGTGTTGGGGTTCAGCTTGTAATCATCTGGTGACTCGCCATAGTACAGAGGTGGCGGCATCTCTGGGGTCACGTCCGACTTCTTTGCAGACGGGTTCTTCAGGCCCTGGTAGCTCTGAGCGCTGCCGAGGATCGCTCCCGCCAGTTCGATGCCGAACTCAATTGTCAGAAGATTCTTCACCTCTAGGCTGGTTGGATCTTCGATTGCCCTGATGACCAGTGGGCTCGCAATGGCCAGTAGAGGACCGCATACAGGAATGAAACTCAGGCCCACGGACAAGACTGTGTTTAGTATGGACACCATTCTGTTCGGAGGAGGAGGAGGAAAGACGACCTGCACGCCATTGATGTCGCTCAGAAACTTATCGTAGGCGACCCCAACAGTGCTTCTCCTTGCACTACGGCCACTGACCAGTGGGTAGTTGGATACATATTTGCCCGTCTCACTGACGAAATGGCCGTTGCTGTTCATTGGTAAACGTGGATTGTAAGGGACCCCCACGTCCCATCTGTGGAGTTGCAGAGCTGCGAGCACGTTGAAGTCCGGCTTCCGCATGTGTCGAGGGAGTGTGAGCAGCAAAGACAGCAACTCTAGATCGATGCGCATTGAGGCTGATAAACGCAACACAACAGATGGCATCATCATCGTGCGTTAGGCATACCTGGAATTTGAAAAGGAGAACGAGAATGAAGAGCTCAGAGAAATTGTAAGTGGAAGCTTTCATGCTCTAAAGTGTCCGAAAATTCCACAAATCAAAAACTCAAGCGCTGAGACCATGTCAAAGACTAGCAGCGAGCACATCTACCTGCAGAGCCATTCCACACCAGCCCTCTCTTGTTGTCTCCTTCCCAGTTGACGAATCCTTGGTTCCCATCCTCTGCCCAGCCTGAGACAGCCAGTCGACCAAGCAGCATTCGGAAGTTGATCTGAGTGTATGTGCAGTTTGGTTTTTCGCCGGGATAACTGACCTGAGAGATCGGCAGCAGAATGTTGCGGATAGGCCACGACAAGTCGATCCACAAGTACTTCTCTGGTTTGCCGGGAAGGAGGAAGGAGATGAGTCGGGGCCTCACTTGTCCCTCGTACCGCATTGCTCGAGCTTCCACAAATGCAGCGTCATCAGTGGGAACTGACACTTCGTCCAGACGCGAGATTTTGCCTCTAGCCAGAGCGTCGTGGCTGTACATGACATTCATGCGATCTGGGGCGTTGATGGCGTTTCGGAATGAACCATTGAAGAGCCTGGTATCGATTCGCGGCTGCATGGGCTGCACAGGTTTAAGGTTTTTCACGTACCAGGAGTCGTCGTGGGCATTGTTAGGGACGAGCTCCAGGATGAACTTGGAGTAGAAGTCTTTTTCGTTTGACATGGTGTAGCCTGCATGATCGAGACACCCCATGGGGAGTGTTCCCAACCCAGCTGGCTCCCCTTGCAGTGTGAAGGGCGTTGCGTCTATGTTCTTGTTCTCCATAGTTTACCAGAAGAATCGAATCCCAAGTTGAGAAAGCTGTGAAGGGAGAGACACACGCATACATCCACAAACAGATGAGTTAGACAATCTGAAGTGTGGGAGAATCTATGCTGGAAATGAACAAAATGTCTGATCAAAGACCACCAGGGTTTTTGAAAATCGAGTCACCCCGAGTTCCACACACTGACCAGAGAGATTGATCGCAACTCAAAAATGATAATGATGTGTTGCAAAGTGCAAAACATATTTATAAACATATACACATTGTCACCTTATGAGGTTCCAAAGCGATGAGGATCATCGACGATAAGTGTTTTACTGCTATGCCCAGGTGGGGTCTGAAACACCTGTCAGAGGTTTTGAAATACCGTACCTGATATTATAGGAGCCAAATCAACAGCGATTCAAGGACATGCATGATTTGAATCACAGCAACCTACAATGTGACAATTTCCATGACGAGGTATATTTTGAATGTAGCATATTGTAAATACACATATAATTTGTCAAGTTGCTGCAATCAACAATTGCTCAAATTGTATTGTGATTTTTGTATTTGGAAAGACTTGAATGAGTTTTATCAAGATTTTATGTCGTGGTTCTTGTATAACTGAAAAATTGTTTCATAGATCACCAGATACAATCAAATTTTTCTTGTGATAGAAGTAAAAGTGCACTTTGACAAAATAAACTTGTAACATGGTGATCAATTACTGCTATGATGAAATCATGTCCGAATAAATCTTGTGTAGCACAAAAATGTCCTAAAATACGTTTGTCTTTTATCACAAAAAGGCTATCATATTATATAGAAATTTTATGTGTAAATTTATATTTCATAAATTATTTATGTCATATTTATTAAACAAAAATATTTTTATTTTTTTAAAACTAAAATTATATATTACATATTTTTATATACTTATAATATAAATAATACCATTGAAAATTTAATCTAATTTTATAATATAAAAAATGTATAGATTTAAAAAAAATATTATTATTCTTTAGTATTAAGATGTTATTTCTTCTATTTCTTCAGAATTCCATAACTTTGGGTTGCATTTTAAATAAAATAGTATACATTAAAATTTTATAAAATTATATATAAATGTGTGTGTGTATATATATATATATATATAATTTAAGAATTTTTCATCTGATTTAATAACCTATATTCAATAATCATGAAGAAATAATTGATTTACAAAAAATTCAAGTATAATGCATTTAATTACAATGTTAGTTGTGATCTATGCATTTAATATTGAAAGAATATGAAAAACAATCTGTTTTGTAGTGACACTTTAAAGTAAAGTATAAAAAATCAAATATCAAACTAACTAACTAACTAACTAACTATATACATATATATATATATATATATATATATATATGATTCTATCTTTTTATATATTTTAATATTAAAAAAAATTGAATTTAACAAGGTCTATAGTATAGAAATGCTACTGTAGATTACATTATAAAATTTCTTATTGGAATACTTTTTAAATGCAAAAATATTTGAAAAATTATTGTGTTTGTTAAAAATAATCAAGATTATATAAGTAGAAAAAAATCATAATATTTTAATTTTATTAAAAAATAATAATGAGATTTTGGAATTAAAAAAATTACAACAAATGAAACAAAATATTTATAAGTTGAAATTACTTAATAATCTATTGAAGCTTTTTATATTTTAAAATTATTCTTTAGATAAAAGGAACATACTATTGCATATTTTCAAAAAAGATAAATAAATAGTTAAAGAAAAATAATTTATTGATAGTATTATGTAATCAATATATTTTATTTTTAATATATGCTATTTTTACCAGTTAGTTTTACCAGACATAACTAGTAAAAACAGATTTTATTTTTAAATAATTTAATGAAATTTTATAAATTTAAAAATAACTTTATAAATTTTACATCCTATAGAATATCTGTAATAAAATAAAAAATAAATATTTTTTTTAATAAAAAGAAGAAGTAATAATAAGCTCTAAACCTGCTAACAAAAAATTGTAATATTTATATAAAATTTTATAATTAAATATATGCTAAAATTTCCAATCAGAATTTAACTAAAACACAACAAAAAAATAAAAAACTAAAAATAAACAGTTGATTTTTTTTTTCATATGAAAAAACGTATAAATAATAGAAACATAAGAAATTTTTATAATTTTTTTCAAAAAAATTTAAAAAATATTAATGAGTGGTTTAAAAATATATATCAATATAAAAGTTACTACTATATTTGAATTGACTTAAAATAAGCCAACAATGCAAATGAAATTTTTCACCAAAGAAATTTACTCTCTTATTAATGAAAAAAATAAATAAGTAAAAATATTTTATGGTTAAAAATAAATAAAAGTATAATTTTCTTCCAATAAAGGTCTATCTTCTATCAATTATTTTAGTATGGTAGAAAAAAACACTTGTAAATATAAACACTGCAACTTATTATTAGAAAGAGATTCTTTCTTTTTCTATGGCACAACAAGCATGGATCTTCTCTATGGTACTGCAAAATGTCTTCTTTATCAATAGAACACCATTAAAAAAATGCCAGGCACTTTGAGGCCATACTGCAAGTTGGCTCTTCTCCATTAAAATATTAAAATATTGAACAATTGCATTTTAAGATTCATAACAACAAATATTAACACTTCTTGTAACCCATCAATACACTGCTAAGTCTCCACAAATGTTTGTGAATTGTCAGCAAAGACATACAATTATATAACATTAAGCTCACAATAAACTGCTAAGGGATTGAATTAAGGCAGATTTATATGCAGCAATATCATCTGCAACTGGACTTACAATCACATTTCATGTATCAGCACATTGTGGACCACTTACCCTCCCAGCATTATTACTTATCACTGCTAAACAAACATACAAACAATTAGAATATGGTAACTGCCCAAAAGCTTTATGCATCAGATTTGTTTCTATGGTACTCTGTTCAAGACTACTAACAATTGATCATAATGGACCAATGCTTAACACAACCATTCTCTTCATTACCTCAAGACTTCAACAGTTGTGGAGAATGCACTCAAACTGGGCATGATTCATTGTAATCAAGCAAATTAGTATGATCAACATAAAAATCTATTTTCAGTTCATGGTAACCTAATCAATCACTTAAATTTTATGCTCTTTGATGTGTCAATGAGATATAGAATCAGTCCAACTGGTTGTGATAGAAGGTTTATTTTATTTATTTATTTATTTATTTTCTTTTTCATACTATTTCCTTAGATGGGTAAACTTTGACCTCACCCAAAATTCCCGGCCATAATCTTTTCAGTTCACACCAACTCCCCAGCTCTACACATACTAATTAAACTGTGTTGTAGGAGTGAAAACCTTGAAAATACCAACATCACATGACTGATCTGCAAAAGCTCTATGTTTCAGGATCTAAATTTTGCCAGTAGGTTAATTTTTTGCAGGTGTTGTGGCTATTACTACAGATGAGAGTTGCTGTAGACCTGCCTGTGAGATCTCACCTATTCAAGAGAGCTACAAAAAGTTGAGAAATTCTGAAGTAACCCACTGCCATGGCGCAGTACTTTGTCATGCATGATCTCTGTATGTACAACTGCATCATGGGCAGACAGATAAGAGTAAGTAGGTTCATGGGATCTACACAAATAGTTGGTTTTTTGGGGTTTTGAATACTGCAACTGCAGTCATGCAAGTCTTTGCACACATGAGTTCCATGCACTCTTATGGGTACAAACCTGAGGTACAACTCACACATTTAACATGTAATGTCATGTATGAAAAGCTTTTGTAGTCTGTATTATAGTGAATAGGACCAAGTTCTTCAAGTATATACTTTAATTCAACAAAAACAGTTCAAAGTGGATTATTGTTTTATACAACTTCTATCTTTTGACAACAAAATTGTAATTGATCTAAAGTATTGTAATAGATCTAAAATATCACTATATAAGTATTATAAACAAATTATACTAAATAAGAATTATATATATATATATATACACACATATAATTTAATTTTAAAACCTCATATTCCATTCTATAATTAATGATGATATAATAGATAAAAATTGAGATTTTATAGACTAGGTTGAAAAGAAATTATAAAAGATTTACCAAAAACATTTATAGCAGATATGTTAAATATCTTTACTTAGTAAATATTAAAATATCTTATAAATTTGGCATTAATTTAGAATTTTTCAAAAACAATTAGAAGATGCTATGATAAAGTCTCTATTATAAAAAGATAGATTTTAAAAATGTGATACAAAAAAAAAAAATTATTGAAAAGATAAACTTTAGTAGTTTAGTAACTAATTTGTAAAAAATCCATTATTCATAAATTAGAACCAAAGACCATCTAATTCTTAAATCTAGAGACTTTATAAAAATTACATAGGCTATATAACACTATGATAGATGTTCATTTTTCCTACACATATTGTCTATATTGGACAAGAGATTGTTACACATAAAATTAAAAAATAGAGAAAAATCTTGTGACTTAGATAAGCTAGTTTATACTATAAAATAATATAAATAAAAGATAAATAAATTTAATAAGTTTTATCATAGATAGTATAATATATTAATATATACAAGTTACTTAGATGAGAGATTAAACTAACTAATTCCATAGATAAATAAGAGCAAAAATCATCATCTAATAGCTCTTTTTTCACTAATTCTTCTATAATCATTATTTTTCTTATACTACTAATTTTCTCTAGCTAAAGTTTGATGCAATAGGAGATCTATTGTTTACACAATAGATACTTAGAGATAGAAGATGAAGAAACAAATAATCACTAAAATTTGCATACAAGCCTTTGTCTTATTATTAGTTTCTTGCCTTGTTATCTTGGTGTCTTTCATAGAAATATTACATCTTTACTTATTGTATACTTTAATATTTGTCTTGCTACTGGATTTTGTTTATTCAACACTAATTGATGTGCCTTGTATTGATGATGGTGAAGAAATATGAATACCAAAAAAGAGTTCAACTACAAATTCAATGGTAAGATAAGAGTTGCTAGATAATTAAATTCAAAAGAGATCATTTGAAAAATTCTATGTTATTATTTATAGTTTTCAATCTATAAAATCTATACTACTTAAAAAAATTGTAAGAAAGAATTTTATTAATGTAGCAAAGTAAGATACAAGAATTTTAGACTTACAAAGATGCAAAAATTTTCTTTATATGAAGACGGTAGCTGTAGACTTGCTAGTTTAAGTAAAGTTATCAATTTTTTTAAGTGACTTGAGACC